GCCTCTAACTAAATCAATGATATCAAGTTTTGAAACATTGTGTGTTCTCTTCTTCGGTTATTAGCCTAGATTTACTATGTGATGCGCACAGCATACAAGTATAGACTGGGTCGCCTGAATTGGAACAAAACATTCTCATGTTTGTTTATTTGAAAATGGTTGATGGTGCTTACTTGCAAGTAGGCTAAGACGTGTTTGCCACCCTCGGGTTGGCTTAGAAAAACATGATTTTGCCACTAATCTAGTGGGCTTAAAACACACTTTGATGAATTGTTCCAATTCAAATAACCCAACCTTCACGCCACAGGCATTCAGGCAGTTATATCACATAAGCATATAGCCTCATGGTAAGCCATCCTATTCATTGGCAGTCACTCACACGCATGCAAGGATGCTAAAGCATAAAACTTACGAGTACTCCAAGCCAAAACAGAAGCTAATTAGAAATCCATGCATGATCCTAATTATATGGAAATGCTAATGCAACACAATGCAAATGCAACTAAGATAGGCTCGGCTATTCTAAAGATGGAATTGAAATGTACAACTAACATGTAATTCACTTGAATAGATAGAAATACAGTTAGCTATGATGCGCCGAGCCGGTGGCATGCAAAACAGATGAATAATGAATCGCAAACATTGCTATCATACTGTATGCCTAATTGAACATTGCCCTAATCTATACGATCCCGGGTTTACCCTTCTTTACAGTGATCCGGAAATGTGTCCGTGGATGCTTGTAGTTGTTTATTATCTTGTTTACATCCTTTTTACTTGGTATTGAGTTTGGGATGTGTTGGGCAGGTTTTGTTACAGGTGGTTGAGTTAGAAACCAAAACTAGTTTGCCCCAGTTATTTTGACCTGTCCGCATTCGAGCGGGAAGTTTGGCGCTTGAGGCTGGGAATTGCAACCCATCCAGTATTTCCTGGTGCAGAGTTGGACGCTCGAAGCGTGGTATTTGGAACCGCTCGAAGCGGGATTTTGTGACTGACGCTCGAGCGGGGATTGGAAAGCTCGAGCGGGACCTGGTCTGGTAAAAGTTCTGGGAGTGTGCATCCGACGCTCGAAGGCGGATGGTTGACGGCTCGAGCGGGAGTCTGTTGAGTGGAGCTCGAGCGGGGTGACAAGGAGTTTAAGTTCCGAGTTTGACTTTTCAAAATCACTTTTTCACTTTCTTCTTTTCTCTCCTCTTTTCCAAAAAACCACCATTGTTGAGCCGTCCACCTCTGAACTCTACCTTCTCTCTAGGTTTTGATCTAGTATGAGTGATTTGCTCATCTTTGCCTTTACAAAAAGTTTGGTTGATCGTCGAGGGCTACATTTAATCTGAAAATTTCGGGATTTGGAGCACGTTGGGTTTTGTCATCTTCTCCCTTGGAGCGTCCGAATTTGAGGTAGGGACATCCTACTCCTCTTACTGGATTTTTGTCCTTAAATTTTAGTATTTTTGAGATTGTTGGGGTTGGTTTTGGTAATTTTTGAGAGTTTGGGGCTTTTGTGTTATTTTTACAAAGTTGGGTTTTTATTTATAATAAACCTTAGATGTATGTATGGCATGAGAAATGGAAATAATGTTGAATATTGTGAAAATGGGACCTAAAGGGTGAATGTTAATTATGGAAAGTTGACCTAATTACATTGTTTGATTAATTGGGATAATTAATGTGAAAATGAGGAAATGAAGATGGGAATTGTTGAGATTGGGAATGTATGGGGTTAAAAGGGTGTAGTTGGATTGTTTATCGGCTCACTCTAATTAACTGTTGATTTATATATCCATGGTGGATTTATTTTCTGTATAGAATATACTGCTTTGGGCTTATCGGCTTGAGGATAGTCGTGACAGTTGTAGACAATGCATGACGATTAGGCAAACGAAAA